AGAGCCTCAGAAAAAAACAAATGAAATTGATAAGGGGTTTTACAATATATAAAATTTGTTCTGCAAGAATTCTACAGCTTTATCAGCCAGTGTGGAAAGACTTTCAAATTCAAATTAAGGTAAACAAATTTAAGAATAAAGCAATTATTGGGGCACCTGGGTGGCTCAGTCGGTTAAGTGTCGGACTTCGGCCCAGGTCATGATCTCACGTCCGTGAGTTCGAGCCCCGCGTCAGGTTCTGTGCTGACAGTGCAGAGCCTGGAGCCTGTTTCAGATTCTATGTCTCCCTCTCTCTCTCTGACCCTCCCGCATTCATGCTCTGTGTCTCTCTGTCTCAAAAGTAAATAAACGTTAAAAAAAAATTAAAAAAAAAAGAATAAAGCAATTATTAACCTCAGTAAAAATCAAAAGTTACATGTGAAATGAATGGTTACCTAGTATACTACATGGATCAGCAACGAATGATACTTCGATAGGTATAATATTAGAAATACCAAATATGAATTTAACTAAAAATTGTGACAGAATTATATTGAAAGTTCGAAGGAGGGTAAGGAAGTATATAAGAGCTAAAAATCCTCAACTGTAACAGAAAGTCAACAACCCAGAGGTGAATACCAGAATAAAGAGTAAAAAGACAAGAAAGTGGTTGTTCCTGATGAAAGGTGGGAGGGAGGCCTAGGGACTGCTTCGTTGTTGACACAAACTTTTTAGGATTTCTTGACCTTTAAAACTATGTGCACATACCACTTTGACAGTCTTTGTTTTTACTTTTTAAAGAAGTAAGGGCATAAATTAAAGAGATTGCAAACCTGCTATAGGCAATATAGCCCATCCATAGAAATTTCAATTCCACTGGAAGTTATTGGCAAGAGAGAAATACAGCCATGTTTTTCATATATTTGTTTATTCATTTCCTGTCTTTTTCACAAGAATTTAAGCCCCCTAAGATCAGGAATAAGTGATGGACTAGTAAATGTTTGACTCTATGAGAAGTAAAAAAATATTCTTGTATCATTTACCTATTTCTGTGGTGTAAATATTCCCAGTGCCTGATTTCTAGCTATCAACATGATGTCACTAAAAAGAGAATTGGGAAAACATGCACAAAGTCAGCTTTTGTAAACTGGCTCCAACACACCATGAACAAAAATCTTGCTTACTATTCTATCTCGGAGTTCAACATAGTGCATGACATGGCAAGTGCCCAGTAAATAATTGTTGATCTGTTGAGTGAACACAGGAAAAATAACAGGAGCCAGGGACAAGCAAACAATGAACTACATAATTTGATCTAAGAAAATTGAAAGCAAAAATCATCTCAAAAGCTGAGAATATTGAGAAGGAGCTCAAGTCAGATTATAACTTGGATAATAAATCACCATGAATTAATAAGGTCATTCTGGCCCCAGGGAAGAAAAAGTGGAAAGGAAGGTAGCTGTGAGCCAGACATTTAGATAGTTACTTTACAAGTGTGACTTTGTTTAATCTTTGCAATAATCTTAGAAGATGTAGATCACTAACCCATTTTACAGATGGGAAAACTGAGACTCAAAAAAGTGTAAGTAATTTGCCCAAGGACACACAGCTAGCAGGAGTGAGAGCTGGGATTCAAACCCATGTTTGTCTAACTCCTTATCATATTCTCTTTCTGCTATACCAGCTGCCTTCAAAAATTTAGGAAAATAATTTAAGGAAAAGGAGGTTTTGTTTATCAGAAATGTGAAGATAATTGTCTCATCCTTCTATCAATCTTTGGTTATGAAGGTATAGCATAGGCACCTGCAAGGTGGGGGTGGAAACGCATCCAAAACAATCTGTTAGATAAGATCTAGATTCAAAACAAGCTGTTTTGTAAGATCTAGATTCTTTGTTCTAGCTCTCTTTATTTTCTTGTCTAAAGCAGAGTAGAGGCTGCCTAGCAACCAAGATAATGGTGTCTCTTTTTTTTTGCCTTAATTATCTTATGCTTTCCACAACCTCAAAGATATTGGATCAAATATTAAGAGAAGAAGATCTGAGTTTTTGTATCAAAATATCTGTTCATATACACGTACAATGCACACACACACACACACACACACACACACACACACACACCTTTCGCCTTCCCTCAATTTTGTGATTAAATTAAAAAGACAGTCTGTATCTATGTGGTGCCATACCATTGGCTAAAAAGTATAAAAATTCACCATTTCAGGGCACCTGGGTGGCTCAGTCGGTTAAGCATCTGACTTTGGCCTAGGTCATGATCTCATAGTTCTTGAGTTCAAGCCCCACGTTGGGGTCTGTGCTGACTGCTCGGAGCCTGGAGCCTGCTTCAGATTCTGTGTCTCCCTCTCTCTGCCCCCCTGCTTGCTCTCTCTCTCTCTCTCTTCTCTCTCAAAAATATCAGTCAGAGAAAGAAAAATATCATATGACTTCACTCATATGAGGACGTTAAGAAACAAAACAGATGAACATAAGGGAAGGGATACAAAAATAATATAAAAACAGGGAGGGGGACAAAACGTAAGAGACTCTTAAATATGGAGAACAAACAGAGGGTTACTGGAGGGGTGGTGGGAGGGGGGATGGGCTAAATAGGTAAGGGGCATTAAGGAATCTACTCCTGAAATCATTGTTGCACTATATGCTAACTAACTTGGATGTAAATTTAAAAAAAATAAAATTTTTAAAAAATGGGAATAAATAAATAAAACATTTTTAAAAATTAAGAAAAAAATTCACCATCTCTTTGCTTGTTGATAAATATACCAAACAAATGGTTTGGACAACCATTCTTAGCAATTTGAGGGATTCTTGCAATTCTTGACCAAACTGACCATTTGTTTTTAAATACATGTGTCTCCTAAAAGAAATATTTATTATAAACATATCAGTAGCAATAAAGTTGAAAATCAGTACTGTTAATATCTCCACTACTTTATTTTATTAGAACAAAAATTGGCAACATCTTCGTTATCAATACTTAAACTAAACCTAAATTTTATCTAAATCATTTGTTCAGAGAGATAAGCAGTCCACAGGATAAAGAAAAGGGGTGGATAAAAAGGAGAATATCATGGAGAATGTGTGTTAGACACAATCAGATGCCTACCTGACAGCCTTCTTCCCTACTAACAGAATCTCAATTCTGTTCACATTTTTCTGGCAGCCATAGGGTCAGTCATGATGGTCTTGTTCCTCTTTCTAAATTATTGACTTAGGTATGCATATGAGGCACGAATATGATCAGGAAAGTATGGAGAGAAGTCTGCATGAGGAGCTTCTGGGAAAGATTTCCTCACTCTTAGAGGCACAAGAAAGGAACATTCCCCATTTTTATCTGTAGACAGTTCCACCTATAATAAGTGATGTCTGGAACTGTGGCAGCCATCATGGGACCATGAGACCAACCAAATCATGGTGTCAAGATAGCACTCTATAGCTCATAAAGAGGAAGGATGAGTAGAGCCTGGTTCATTGATAACATCATTGAGCTGATGAATTAACTGACTCTTGAGCTCCCATAGCTTCAAATTTTGAAAAAAAAAATATTACTGGCCATTTTGTGTTGAACAGTCTATTTCTTGCAGCCAGAGGCTTTGTAACTGATACAGTATACTAGCCAATGCTAGAACTTTTAATCCTACTTATGTTTTCTTCTAAATACTTCTGAAAATAACTACCTTCTCTTACATCTGGCCTCCAACCTATAACAACCCTCTCTGTATTTTTTCAAATCTAAGTGATAGCTTTGGCCTCCCCATCTTCTCATATTCCTTGTCTTCTTTGTATGTTTCTTCTTTGTTTTTGTCTTTGCTCCCCATTCCTTTCGCTTTCTTCCCCTGTCCACTTCCTTTTTTTTTTTTTTTTGAGATTTTAAGTTTATTTATTTATTTTGAGAGAGAGATCACACACAAGCAGTGGAGGGGCTGAGAGAGAGGGAGAGAGAGAGAGAGAGAGAGAGTGTATCTCAAGCAGGCTCTGTGCTGTCAGAACCCAATGAGGGGCTTGAGATCATGACCTGAGCCAAAAGCAAGAGTTGGATGCTTAACTGACTGAGCCACCCAGGCACCCCAGTCCCCTCTCCACTTCTTTACCTTCTTCTAGCTCTTAAGTGTTTGTGATTTGAACATGAAATATGTTTATACATATATTCATTTATACATGTGTAAATATTATGCCTTGCATATTAGAAAGGAGGAATTCTTCCCCAATCCAAATAATTCCTTTCATACAGAGATAGCTCTGCTAGAAAAAAGAGAAAAAGAAAAAAAACACCTGACCTCTCTTTAACCCTTACTCATTCCTTCCCACAAAGGAGGAGTGACTTAATCTGACTGGTTAATTTGAAAGGAGAACTAAGCATGTGTAGCCCAGCCTGTCCTAGTTTCTGTCTCTTGGGAGCCAGCTACCTATAGGAAACACTCACCATGCTCCTCCAGGCTGTACATTTTACAGAAAGCATGCCCTCGTGGTGCAGGAATATGTGGTGGTCCTGCAATGCTGGTGACTAGATGGAAAAGTCTGGGTAATCCTCAGATTCTGTATTGGGAAGCTCAAATTCTTCCAAGAAGACAGAAGCCACATCCCAAATACCAGTTCTATCAGTAATAAACTTAGTAGAGTCTCATTATACCAGCTGTCTTGTCTTACTTTGAATAGATTCAAAACTATTCAAAATAGTTGAACTTGGGTCAGAAATAAGACTTCTTCTCTCTAGCCCCCTTGAACAGCACTAGTATATATGAAAGCTTTGTTTCCCTGTTTTGAAGTATATTTTCTTTATTCTTCATAGTTGCATGCTGTCATTGTGGGCGGTGTGACAATAAAAAATATTCTCCATCATTGTGTCTTTGTTTTATAAATGTTTTCTGCAAACAAAAGATGTTTTTAATTTGTGTGTGGCTGCTTGTTCTTGATGGAGCTTCCTATGGAATAGAGGCTCTTGATAGAAACAATATTTACCTTCCCGATTTTTGAGGGCCTCTGCTTATAACTTGTGAATCACTTACTTGATCTGAGTCCAGCTTCTCAGGAACTTCATGTGTAGCTGCTGCCTCAGTATAGGCTTGGTAGAAGGTCTTTTCTTGGGACTCCACTGTAATGGTCAACACAGCATCATAGGCTTCCCGGAGTTTTGGGCTGTTCCTCAGGACCTGGTAGGGTGTATGCTTATAAGGTAAACTGTAGAGCAGGGCATCATAAGGAACAAAGACATAGGTTCCATCAGTCATTTTCAGATCATGAGCCCATTCCAAGAGATGCATCTGAGTCTCTCCCCCAATCAAGGCCGAATGCATACACATGATGATTACTGAAACCAACAAAGCAGGGAGGTTATGGCAGTAATAGGTTAGTAAAATACACTTCCAAAAACCACAGACCAGGGGAAATAAATAAATGTGTTACAACCAATTGCTAAATTATTTTTATCGTATGCCTCTAAGATGATCAAGATGTTGAAGCCCTGAGCTAAGGCTTTGTTCAGGGACTCTGGATTAGGCATAGGGACAATACAGATATGTCTACAGCCTGCAGAGCCCAATACTAGACAGGAACAAGAACAACTATAGCAAATGAGAGGTAGCATAATGAAGAGGCTATGGGATCGGAAGACTCAGGCTTATACCTTAACATCACTAGTTATTGTTAGCTGTCTGCCCTTAGCTAAATCGCTTTACCTCTCTCCATGCCTCATTTATAAAATGGAGATCAAAAATATGTACTTTATGGGGTGGTAGTGATGATTGAAGGGCAATTCGTATAATAGGCTTGGCACATGACACTCAAAAAATCGCAGCTATTATTATACCTAAGAATAAGAAGGCTAGAGGGAGAGGATAGGAGAGACTCTCATAGCCACTGTTGCTGTTTATTGCCCAGCTCTGGCAAACATACATTCCAATAGGTTTCGCACAACTGTTTCCACCCTTACTATGGCCAGTATAGGCAGTGAATGGCACTCACACTCTCCTGTAAATGATAATAATATTGTGGGTGATAGGCTCAAGTTTTAAAAATCTAAGTTCCCTATAATTGGAATTACTTTGCACTCTTCTTTAATTCTCCCCTGACTTATGAAGCTATGTTGTTTGGCAGAGCTATGCTAGAATAGAGTGGATTAGAGGCAGCCACGGTTGAAGAATGGCAAGCAAGATCATGAGACTGAAAGCCTTCTATCCAATTTCGCCCTTGGCATGCTAAATGAGTTTAGTTTAAGCCCACTTGTACTTCAGTGCGCACATCTTTAAAATGCAGAGTCCAAAGCATTTCACAGGTGCGTTGAGTAGTTTAATTAGATAATGCCTGGCAAGTATTCAGAGCTCTTTGCAGAAAGGGCCAAGGTCCTATTGCTATTGGTAAATATTAATTATATGTGCTTACACGGAACCTTTAATCTCAGGAACTGAGTATGCTTAACTACATTCAGTGACTGGTTTTTGCATTTATATATTTCATCACCTATTTTCAGAAATCTTTTTTACACTGGTTAAATACTCCCAGAAATTTTCCCATTTGACCTACAGCTGATACCTTTCAGTGTTTTAAGGTGTAACTAGCAAGTTCTGAAGATGATTTAAATCACACACACACACACACACACACACACACACACACACACAGTAACCTGAGTTTTCAAATGACCATTAGTTCCCTCAATATAATGTCCCTAAGAGGTTTTCCATGTATTATGATGCTCACATCTTCCTTCCAATACTCTGGGATATCTTTGGAGTGAGTTCATGAGCCACACTAGGAATTCAGCCCCCTTCGTTCATAACCACACGTTGCATAATGGGGAAATGGAGTGCGAAAGAGGCTTGACAAGGCAAGAGATGGATTTAGAAGGACAAACTAGAACCAAAGACATCTAACTCCCTAAATTTGGCTACACCATTAAATGTGAATCCGTTTGGTCAGATTAGTCCACTAACAAACTCATTGAGGGGGGAAAATGAGTTAAGTGAGGCCCTTTAAGTAGTTGGCCAATTCATCCACCAGTATCCTTAGCAAGTTACTCAGTATTAGCATCTTTCTTCTACAAAAACAGAGATTAGGTGACTTGGCCAAGATTACCAAAAGAGATAAAATTTCATTTGCTGTATTTCAAAGAATATTAGCATTACTTCACTAGATGGAATGTGTTAAATGGAATTAAGTGACTTGTTTTGGTTGAAATACAGCAAATACTATAACATACACCACGTGCATTGGGTGCTGTGGTGTACCACCCAGATGCACCCTTCATGACTGAAGCACTGGTTCTCCTAGCTGCTGGGGGTGGGGGTTAGAAGATGATAGCTAACATCTCTCTGAGAATTGCCCTCAGCTGATGAGAGCCACCTCTCACAAGGTCACACCTTCTCAGAAGTGTGCTAGAGCTGGCTTGTGCTAGTTCCCAAGAGCCTGTGGTTAAATTTTGGGGGGTTTTGTGCACCAGTTAGTTGCAGACTGGTAGCTTGAAATTGAGCATGGTGGGAGTGATTATGGAAATCACTCCATGGAAATCAGCAAATGTTACCAATCAGGACTACTTTCCCCCTGACAAGCTGGCTGTCAAACTATTATTATCACATTGTACCCCTCTCTCTGCATCAGCCTGTATCCAATGACTGGTCAACATGGGGGCATAGAGGCTAAAACTCCTTCCTCATCTCAATTCTGGACAACTCTGAAGGGCCATCCCAGCTCCAGAGTTCCCACTGGGACTGGCTGAGGCCTTTGTTGTGATGACATGACCATTCAGTTCCTCTCTCTGCCTCATTCTACTGCTTTCTCTCCCTCACAAATGTTGTTCTTGAAAGCATTCCCACAATAAGCTTCCTGCACACAAATCTCCATCTGACAGAATTTTTTTCCAGGACACTGACTTGTCACACTGGTGGAGAGCCCCGTCATACCCTGAACTGACTTCTACCATGGCACTTACAAGATTTATTGCCCTTATTTATTTATGTCAACCTCTACTATGAAACTGTGAGCTCCCTGAGGTCAAGGACTGTGTCTTATTTATCTCTGTATCCCGGTACATATGATGAACCCAAAGAACATTGTTTAAACAAACGCCTGAAAAATTCAGAAAGTTTGTACCCTTGGATATCATTTGTGGGTTCCTTGAGGTGTGAGGCATGGACATATTTGGATTGTTAGTATGGAGGAAGGATTTGAAGTGATATTTGCTGGGCAAGTAAATTCTACCAAACTTGTCCTTAATGCTTAGAGTCATTAACTATGCTCAAGACCTTACCCTCTACCTTAATCTCTTGTGATTTTTTTTTCCATTGGCACACTAAGGACACTTCAGACAAAGAGTCAGAATTTTTATAGCTGGAAAGACTCTTTGAGACCTACTACTTCCTCTTATTCCCCCATTATTCTCCAGAGGAGAAAATGGAATCCTTGAGAAGGTATGATCACAGGCTCCTCCATTTGTTGCATGGCAAGACCTTGCCATTGAACATGACTAAAGTAGAAAGCATCAATACTGAATTCAAACAACAGCAATTTAATTTAATGGATTGAGTGCTTTGTGAAAGGGATTTGTGGATGCATCTGTTCTACATGATGGTTTTACTAAATAGTTTTATTATCTCAAAATTACATTCATTAAAATGGGGTTTTACCTGTAAGTTGTTGTCAGGAAAGGATTAGTAGACAGAAACCTTAAATCCTAGACAAGGCCTGGGCCAATGAGTGATCACTGAATAATGCTAATTTGTAAGTTTCCATCCTGATTGTTAACAGTCAGCCACTCGATAGCCAACACAAGGACCAGGAGATACATCCACCTGAGATACCATCTCACTAAGATATAATCTTAGCACTTTCTCTGAGCTTCCTGAGCCCCACTCAAGCCATCTAGCAGCTATGGGGCCCCTGTGTGGCTCAACTGGTTAAGCGTCCAACTCTTGATTTTGGCTCAGGTCCTGATCTCACAACTTGTGAGATCAAGCCCTGCATGGGGCTCTGCACTGACAGCATGGAGCCTGCATGAGATTTTCTCTCTCCCTGTCTCTCTGCCCCTCCCTCCCCCCGTGTGCACATGCACTTGCTCTCTCGCTCTCTCTCCCTCTCTCCATCTCTGTCTTTGTCCCTCTCAAAATAAATACATAAATAAACATTTTTTAGAAAGACATCCAGCAGCTATGTCTTCATATGGTAGTATCCATTATGGCAGGCTGTCCAGGATCAATCATCTCTTTCACCTTCAACAATAGCAGAAAGAAACATTATGAAACTCCAGGAAAAGCCAATTACTAAGTTGCTCAACTCCTCCTTTTGAGGAAGGAAATTGAAATTCTCATATTGAAATATTCTGTCTGATATTTCCTTGAGATAGAGGATCTGTGTTTCTCAAAAGGCAACGTTCACTTTTTTTCTTTCTCACAGATTACTGGCTATAGAGTCCTTAGAGGAGGAAACTGGGTGCACTCTCATACCTTGTGAAATGGAAATAGTTCTACTAGCTAGCGTTGAAGAAGTCCTTAGGAGTCATATTCACATTGTGACCCTGCAGTATTGCTCCCAATCCACAGAAACACCCCACCACTTCAACGGTTCTTTATCTTCATTTTAGTCCTTTTGTGACATTTCCCATTACTGACATTTATTTTAACCTATTTCGTTTTAACAAATGTTGAGAGAGGGGGAAGCATACTCTGCGATTTATCCCAAGTCTCATATTCCCCCAGGAGTCAGCCATCTGGCCATACAGTGAAAGAAGTACATTCAGACCCTCTTCCTCTCCACTTTCTTCCAAGGCCAGTCTATAAAATGGATCCATAAGAAGAGCGTAGGAGGCTCTGGAATCTGCAGGTTTCCCAGTTCTGCCCCCTCACCCAATGTGATTCAGTGCAGAAGGCCTTGAAAGCACAACTTAAGAACACTGCAGTAGGTGATGGGTGACCGTTTGTATCAGCTGAGGACACCCACCCACACGCATTTTTGTCTCTAAGTCCACAGACCACTTAAGTACCTGCCACCAGTGTTGAACCAGTGCAAGAAGCTCTGCATGATGGGAGACACGCCTTACCTTTAATGGCCATTCCACCCACATCAGACCGTGTTTTCTCATACCCAATAAAACCCTGCACATGGCTGCCCAGCTTGAGATAAGTTGTTATTTTTCCACACCTTGCAACATATGTTTTCTTCAACGTTTTCGAACTGCTGTCCAGATAAGGCCTCTTAAATGTTGGAAACCTCTTTAGAGATTTCCTCTTATGCTGGGTCTTCAATCATTTTATCTGATATTAGGCCCATTCATGAAAGCAAGTTGTCCTTTTACCATTTACATTTACTTACATTTATCTA